TGTGAGTTTGGGACCAACCTGGGCTACATAGTGAGCTCCACATCAGTCTCAACTATATAGTGAGACCCTGCCTCAAAAAAACAAACAAAATACAGGCTAGGGATTTAACTCAGTGGTTCCGCCACCTGCCTCCCGAGTGCAAGGTCCTGAGTTCGATACCCTACCAAGAAAAAAAATCAACTCTAAGGTGAAGGATGTTATTGAATTGGGTCCTTCCTACAACGAAGAAAGTGGCAAAATGCCTAGTTGGCCTATTTGGATTTTGGAGACAATACTTTTCACACTTGGATAGGCAGTTTCGTCCCACTTACTGAATGACTTGGAAACTGCTAGTTTTGAGAAAAAGAGAAGACTCTGCAACAGGTCCAGGCTTCTTTGCCACCTGGGCCATATGATCCAGCAGACCCAGTGATAACTAAGGTGTTAGTCACACATAGGGATGCTGTTTGAAGCCTCTGATGGGCCCCTACAGATGCATCACAGTTGAGACCCTTAGCATTTAGACCAGGGCTGTGCCTTCATTGCAACTGTTCTCCCTTTGAAAAACAGCTTGTGCCCTGCTACTGACCTTAGTGGGATCTGAACACTTGATTATGGGACACCAGATCACCATGTGACCTAAGCTGCCTATCATAACTGGGTGTTATCCACCAAGTCATTAAGTTGGATGTGCACAATAATAAGCCATCATCAAATGAAAGTGATACATACATGACAGGACTTAAGCAGGCCCTGAGGGTATAAGTATGTTATGTGAAAAAGTGGTCCAAATGCCTATGGTTCCTACTTCTACTATTCTGCTTTCTGCCCCCTGTGTGTATCACTGCCCTCATGGGGCATACCCTATGATTAACTGACAGAGGAAGAGAGGACTGGGGCCTGGTCCACACGTTTCTGCATTTATGCAGGCACTGTGTGAAAGTGGACAGCTGCAACACTTCAGCCCCTTGTCAAGACATCTCTGAAGGGCAGTGACTGAAGGGAAACCTTTATTGTAGGCAGAAGCTGGGCAGCACACCTAGTCATATATTTTGCTAGAAAGAAAATATGGCCAGATATTTGACTATATACTGCATAGGCTGTGGCCAGTGGTCCAGCTGGATGTAATGTCTTTAATAGTTTAATATTATGAAGTACATTCCTTGGTCAGAAACAATCCTGTGTAGAATATCATGATGATAGGTGAGCCATTCTGTAAATTCATAGATGGTAGGTTTTATGACTGTAAGCATAAGAACAAATCTCCTAAGGATATTAAGGGATAACTGTACAAGCTTTTATTTTATAAAAGAGAAAATAAGTCCCCAAAGAAATATCTGTAATAGTTTAATATTATTACCTCTGGAGAATATGACAAAGTTGGAGGAAGGGAGCAGAACCAAAAGATTAGAGTTTCTTGTGAGTAGCTTTTTAACATCATGGGACTTTTTAATATATTTTCCTATAATATTTGCAGAAAATTAAAATATTATGTTCAAATAATAAATGTATTCCTTAGAATAGCTCAAAAGTTTAGAATTATAATCTGTGCTGTCTTAAAACTGACTTCACAATAAACCACTGGGCTTTATTAGTCTTCTTTATTAACCAGCATCAGCATTTGAGCCCCCTCAGCCACAGATAGATTCTTGGGAGCCACAATTTTGTATGTTTGTATTCATTTCAATTATAATTGAAATTCTATGAGTATATCCTGGATCATCTGGGCAACTACCATGTGACTCTCATTTTGATTCTAGTCTGTTTAGGTTACTGTAACAAAATACCATAGGCTGGGTGGCTTGTAGGCAATGGAAATTTATTTCTCACAATTCTGGAGTCTAGGAAGTCTAAAATCAAGGTGGAAGCAGATTTCAATGTCTACTGAGGGCCCATTTTCATCTCACATGGGGAAAGGGGTGCGGGATTTTTCTCTGATCTCTTTTATAAGGACAATGATGCTGTTCACAAGAGCTCCATTCAAATAGCCTAAATAAAAGCCTTACTTCCTAATAGTATCACCTTGGAAGTAGGAGGCATACAAACATTCAGACTTAACACACAGCAAATGATGCATTAATGTCAAATGAAGTCTAAATGAAATTATGTCAAGTGACATGAATAAAACCTCTGTAATTAACTTGAATGCAACAAGTGTTGAGGAAACTGAATCGTTTCCCAAAGCACACTGTAGAAAAGTACTGTATCAGTGAGGGCTCATTAGAATAACAGATATATAGGGCCGGGGATTTAGCTCAGCGGTTCCGGTGCCTGCCTCACAAGTGCAAGGACCTGAGTTCAATCACCGGTACAAAAAAAAAAAAAAAGAATTATCCGATATAGATAGATAGACAGATAGACAGACAGACAGATACTATTTACAAGGTAGGTATGTTACTTTTTTCTCGTTTACTGAAACAAAATATCTAACACCCAAAGTTAAAGGCAAAAGGGTTTATTCAGCACACAGTTCGCAGAGGTTTCTGTCCATAATCAGCTGGTTCCAAAGCAGGATGGCAGAACGGCAATAGTTCATAGTGTTGGAAGATAGCAGAAGAAACAAGGAAACCTTAACAGCACCTTTCTGGCCCTTTTATATTATTCAGACTACAAGGATTAGGGTGGTGTCAAATCAATCAGTGCACTGGTTCAGTAATCATAACTCTTAATCCCAGCATCACACACTCAAGATTCAGCCACTAAGGAGGCTTTGTGGCACATCTAGCCCCAAACCGTAACAGTAGACTTACAATGGCTGCCCGCAAGTTAGGTGTGGAAGAATACAAAAGTGCTGCCTGCGCACTGGAGATCCAAACAAACAATTCAAAGGTGGAAGAGCTGGAGTCCACTGCAGAGTCCCACTGAAAGCTGAAGGATCTACACAGGAAGGGTGAAAAGTTTGTGCTGGAAGCCTGGAGATGAATGGCAAAGACTGGAGCTCCTCTGAAGAAACTGAAGCTAGACTCCCTCCTTACCCTTTGTATTCCACTCAGGCTATAAGCCTCTTGGTTGGAGCCACTCACATGTTGGTGCTTCTGTCTTCTTTAGTAAATACACTCAACACCACCCAGGAGAATGCTAATTCAATCACCTGGGTGTTCTTACTCAAGCTGACCCAACAGGTAGCTATCACAAACACTATGAACTCAAAAGGACCTGCAGTCAGCAACACATTCATGTTATAAATAGCATTTGAGCTTGGCAAAACCTTGTCATATAAAAGTAACATTGTCAATTTGAATTGTATTTATTGGTTTTATAAATTTTCAAAGTAATATATATTTAAAACTGGATGTTATATAACTGTAAACATAGGAAATATCTAACAAATTTCACATTAGCACATATTGGCCCAAATAATAATATAATAATTTAGTTCAACCATGGTTATTTTTCCTATAAATTAATTTCAATGTTATTTGTTATTTTGCTCAAAGAATCTGTATATTACTTAAATTTCAGAAGCACTGGCTTATAGTTTGTGTTTACTTAGAGATCTGATTGGGTCAGTTGCTATAAACCAGGACAGAATGTGACCTAACTTGTGCTCATCAAGTACTAAGTATCTTAGAAGGAGGTACTTTTTTCCTTTTAATTTTATTTATAAATTTATTATCAAATGAGGCAATAAGCAATTTTGTTGACTTCACTGCAATATCTTTATACTACCTCTTCTTGGGTTCATTCATCTATGTATAATTTATGTCTCCCTATACTCAGAGAAAAGAATAGAGAAAATTTTGGGGTTGGGGTATTTTAGCTTCCTGCTGCAGCTAGAGCGATTTGTCACAAATTTTGTAGCTTTAAAAACAACAAAAATGTATGATTTTATAGTTCCGGAAGTCAAAGTTTCAAAATTAGTTTGACTGAACTATACAGTCAACCTGTTAGCAAGACTGCCCTCTTCTGGAGACTCTAAGGGATAACGGCTCCTTGTCTTGGCTTCTAGGGGCCTCCTGCATCCCTGGCTCCAAGGCCTATATCACTCTGATTTGTTTCTGTCATCAACTCTCCTTTTATGACTCTGAGCCTCTCCCACTTATAAGTACCCTGTGATTAAAGTAGGCCCACCCAACTAAGTCTGGATAGTCTTCCCATCTCATGATCCTTAATACATCTGCAAAGTCCCTTTCTGCCATGTAAATAGCACCACAGCTTGCAGAGATCAGGACATGGACATGTTTGAAATAGCATTCTTCTGCCTACCATAAGGGGTGCCACTGTGCCCAAATTATCCCTGGAACAGAAACTGATGGAGAAACCTTGAAAAGGCATAGGAACTCCAGAAACAGAAAAAGAGAGTAGATGTAAGTTAAGAGAAAGGCATTCTATAGTGATTAGAGAGGGGTTTCATTTTCTGATAAGGACTAAGGAACTTACTGAGGGCTTGAAAAGAATGGAAAAGCTGCGGAGTGTGGGAGATCCACCAACTAAGGAAGGTACAGAAGGCTGCTTCCCTCAGGGATCATTCAAGATGTGAACACAGTCACTCAAGGCAGACTGGGGTCTGAGGTCACACCAGTCACCATACACATGCAGGTGATATGAAATCTAGTTCCAAAGCTATCTAAGTTGTTTCAAACTTTGCAAACATACCGTGACATCAGAACTTACTTGGCTCTGCTGCCTTCTTTTTCTTATGCCATTGTTTTTCTTTTTCCATTATTCTTATAAGAAATTTGATACAAACCGGCTAACGCAAGAAAAGGAAAATAAATGACGAATCATAAAGCACACTGGAGATAAATCAAGAAATAAGAAGAATGATTGCTGCCCAAAAGAATGACAACAGTGAAAAAAACTGCACTCATCAGGGGCTTATCTACTCAGGGTTTAAAATTTTAAAAGAATAAAATATGGAGAGTCTGATAAGATCTACCGGCTGCTTCTGTTTTTTAAGATCTTTCCCCTGGCAACAGCTTCTGAAGCTGGAGTGGATTTCTCTCTTGCTGTGTCATACCATGCTCCCTTCCCCACCCCCTCCTGCTGCCTCCATCAGTGCCCATGGCTGTGTGTGTGTGTGTGTGTATTTGGTTTCTCTCTTCTCTGTAAGAACACAGCCTGACAGCCTGCTCCTGCTGTTGCTGCGGCTCTCACTTGCTTTTTGCTGCCTCTTTCCTCTCCTTTCTCTTCCTACTTAGCTTCTTGTCTTGTGGTAAGTATGACAAACACTCCTCCAAGCCCTGTGAGAAGATTACAGTGCAGTTTGTTGTGTTCAAAACTTGCAACTTTGAGATTGCCTGTGACCTGTTGAAGAACTTTCCATTGTTGTTTTTATAATTAAAATGTGTTGTTCAGGAAGGGATGTTGTGTTTGATAGTCCACTGGGACTGCCAGTACAAGGGAAAATTTCTGTCTCAGAGGACAGAGGAAAGGCCCATAAAGTTTATGTAAAAAATTTTTAGAAATACTTTCTTTGCTATAAAATAAATTACTGTAAATGGATAATATAAAAGTAACAAAGTTCTTTTGACTTTCTTACTCTTGTTAATTTGTCTTGAGGCCTCTCTTAGTTATTGAGCTTTCTGTGCCTTACAATGATTCAGTTATGTTGTTTTCAAATAAATATGGAACATAAGTTTAAAGAATATCCATGGAACTAAATATAAAAAAGAATTAACAATTGTGGCAAATGATGAGTGAATAAATCAAATAGAAATAAAATACTTGCTTGTAGCCTAGACACAGTAAAATTCCTATGGACAAACAATTTTAAATTAATTGCTTTGAAGTTTGGTTTCCTTAGACATATTTCATCCTAAAATAATTTCCCAACACTTAAAATTTCCACTTATGGATTTAAACTGTAAGTGTTTACCGTTTCAATTCGATTTTAAAATTATTCTCTTGATTTTCAAGGATGAAGTGCTAAATGCCATGACTCATTTTAGAAGAGCTTAAAATAACTCCTGGCTGGACAGCAGATGCCATGTGTCTTTCTCTGAGTTTAAAGGGGGGGCAAAAGTTATATATAGAAGAGTGTGCAAATAAGTAGAAGGGAGGATAAAGAAACTGCACTGATGACAATGAGGCTGTTAATTGAATTATTTTATAATTAAACTGGTGAATTAAAATCAGTGAACTTATTTCCTTCTAAATAAAGGAGTTATTGGTGAGAGTCAAGGGTGTGGTAATATCTGAATATTGCATTATTCAATCTTGTTGACATCCAAGTATTTGAGGTCTACCACCATAAGAACGAGAGAAGGAAGTTATGTAATTTGGAGAGGAGTATGTTTTTGTTTTCACTGTTATGTCAACACAACAGCAAAACTTGTAAATTATGAGGATCTTGCCATATTTTTATGCTGCTAATTAGAAATACCACAACTAAAAGTTATTTATAAATAAAATAAACTGTAAATTAAAGGCCTAAGCACAATCTTTTACAAGCCTAGAAATGGTAATAGCCAGAAACCCTGGAATCCTGGACTCAGCTTTTCCTATGTGCCCTTTCCTATTACATCTAGGCTGTTTCCCTAGCTTATCTTCTTCCTGCTTACTATATACTGCTATTCTTAAAGTCACTACCCTCCTAGAATTTCATAACTGAGAAGAAAAAGCTGTAATCTGCTTTCTTCTAAAATAAAGCCAATTTTTAGAATGGAAGAAAGGATATTATACAAATTTAAGCAATTAATACTATAAGCATCATCACGTTTGCCACATTCGTTGGTTTATTTATACCTTCTCTCATTCTTTGTCTTATTTAAAAAATGATGCCACTTTGAGCCTCAGAAAAAGTGTTTCACTGATTCACATGTGTTGTTGCTGATCTGAGAAAAAGAAAAAACTAGAAAGCAAGAAATATTAGCATGATAATGCATTTGCATCAACATATAATCTTGCATTATGGATCAAGGTAAAGTTTAAGAACATTATTATGAATGATTTAATTAAGTACAATAGCTCATATTAAATGTTTTAACTTTGAAAGAAAGTTTATATATTTGTGTACCTCTAATGATTGTGAGTCTACACAGAATTACATAATATGTATCATAATACAAATTGGCTTGTCTAAGCAAAATGACAAATATGATCAACAAAAACCAGCACAAATTACTCAAAGTTGATGGTAAGGCATACTACTAAAAATTGAGTACTAAACCAAAAGTAATGACTTGCTTCAAAAAATGGCTTCCCATTATTCCTACCTAGTATTAATTTTACCTAATATTATTGTAATTATAATATCAACGATTTGTGAAACACTCTGTTAGAAACCCTAATGACCTAGTATACTATTTGGGAAATATTCTCACCATTAATATATTATTGTGTTAATTATTTAAAAAATCTAATTTTGCTTATTACTAGATACCACTCCAAGTATGGAGACTAATCACTCTGAACAGCTCTCAGCAGAACAATCAACAGCTCCAACAGATAGTTCATCATCAACCAATCAAGATGCCCTGGGGAAGCAAAACAGTCAGGATTCTTCAACATCACTCCAAACACCAGAGGAAGAGGCAAGTAGCCACTCTGAAAAGGGAGCCCAAGATATTTCTGAAGAACTGAATCAACAACTAGAAGATATCATAAGCATGTACGGTTCTACTGCCAATACCATAGAGAAAGAGGGCCCAGCCAAGGCAAAAGAGCAGCCTGAAAGTGCAGAAGCAGTTGACAATGAGGACAGAGACTGCGAAGAAACCACTGATGAGGCAAAAAGAGAACCCACTGCTTCTGGAGAGCCATTCACAGTCAAAGAGCCTGTCAGCAACAAAGAGCAAAAGTTGGAAAAGAAAATCCTAAAAGGATTAGGCAAGTAGTTATTTCTAATATATCACTTTTCATTTTTCCTAAAAAGGGGTACTTCCTCAGCCTCTATAAAAAGCACATCTATTATTTAGATTTACTTTAACAGCTTCATTTGGGGCTGCCCTAAATGTTCTTTTTTTTTTTTGGTACCGGGGATTGAACTTGGGTCCTTGCACTTGCAAGGCAGGCCACCGAACCACTGAGCTAAATCCCCGGCCCCCTAAATGTTCTCGTACTGTATTTGTCCCCATCCTCTCTTCTTCAATAGAACTCAAGTGAATTTTTAACATGTTACCCATTTGCTCTCAGTCCCAATGGCTTCCCACTGCTTTAAAAAAAAAGACCAAAATTCATAATATTTTCTCAGAACCTGGCAATCAACCCTAGTAAGTCCCTTGTCTGTCATGTCACTCTATCCTACAGTATCCCCTTCCTAAACACTTTGCCCCTGTTACCACTGAAGTCATTCTGATCCTCTCTTTTAGTTCTTTGAACATACACTATCCCTCATCCCCCAAAGGCTGGTGCACATGCTATTTCTCTGTACCTAAAAATCCCTATCTATGCCCCACTGCCACTCCAATTCAGCCCTTTGAACACTAAATCCTAGTTCTTTGGCTCACAATTGAAATGAGCTTTTTTTAGTTCAAACCTGATAAAAGTCTTAAATGTTTTGTATCTTTATTATACCATGCATCTTTCCCATATAACATAAATCAGATTTGAAATTATCTACATTTTATGGGATTAATGTATGTCTTGACCATTAGATCTTTTGTCCCAAAAGTGATGTGTGCATGAGTATTTACTGTATAGGGTATACTCTAGGCTCAACAGATACATGTTTAAAGAATTAGTGTATGAGTGAATGAACAAATGAGAACATTATTCAAAATAAAGCAAGTGGAGTCTAGATATAAGCAAAACATAAACATTTGTGTATAACATTATTGTCAATTAGATCACTTGATAATATATTCCATATTTATATACTTTTATTAAATACAACTCATCAGAAATGTATCAAGTGATTTATGCCAACATTTACAGAAGATATATACTTGTATTCTTAATAAATGGATTCAATAAATATTTTTAGTACCTAGTATTTATGAGTTATTGTGCTATGTGCACAAAAATAATAAGTAATGGTCCCTTGGTCAAGCAAGTCTAGGTATAGAAAGAAAAGCAAGACATACAAAATAATTGTTATACAGGATAAGTGCAAAAACAAGAAGAAAAACTTTTGAAGAGCATGGGATATTGGTAATACCAACAATAGCTGTAAAGAGTGAGAAAGCTAATTTTATATATAATTTTATGTACGGCTGAACGCATGTTACTAGACAGGGGAAAGTTCTTTTGCCTATCTTCTCTGGTGAATCTCACTGAAACACTCAGACTAGAACTCTCTCTTACGTGATACTTTTCTTGGCATGCCCACAGCATCACCTTCTTTAGTTTTCTGTTAAATTTTCTGTAGCAATGATTTGCCTATATACCTAGCCTTCCAAGCTATATGGATAATCTATCAAGGACAGTGATCTCATCTTACTCATTTCAAGAAGACAACATAGTATAGTGATGAATGGGCCCTGGAGTCAGAACTGGGTTCAAACTCCAATAATAGATTACTCTCTATAAACCCAAAAGTATGTCTACATTGGAGTAGGTATCACTGTGACATTTAAAATTCACTGATGCAATGTTTTCAAGAAAGACTAAGTGACATATTTTAATAACATAGTTGATCCACCCAACATAAAGATTAAAATAACCCAAGTAATACCTTTAAAATTTCCTACAAGGTTGGAATCATTCTAGTGATTCTGGAATGTTGTAAAAACATTAAAAAGTTACAAAGCAATTTTTCCCTGTCTAATCCAAGCATCTCAGACATGTCCCTTTGCACTAATTATTGTTAAAGTTCCCATAAGACAGTATGCAAAACTTTCACTCCAGGGGAAAACAATTTCAAGCGTTCTAATAATGGTTCCTAACCACTGCTGTATTGTCCTAAAACTTTTATATCAGTCCCCCCTTACTGTGTGTGTGTTATATTGAGATGAAAGATATGAATAGGAATAACATAAAAAATAACCCATTTGGGCTGTTACTTTCTCTTCCATAATCTGCTGTAAGCTTATGATTACCAAATAATCAATTTTTTTAGAGTTAAGGAAGAGGACCTCACGTCTCTAGTACTACACTTATAAGTTAACAAGCTCCCACTAAATGTATTTGACTAAAATTTTTGAATCAGAGACCTACTCCAATCACAAGTTATGGGGCTGATGACCTTCCTGTGCCACCCCATTCAACACTTCGTATATTCTTTTAAGTTTTGGCCACAACACATGGAAGCCAGGGAGAGGATAGCGAGGCACACAAATATGTATTCAAGACCAAATTTTATCGCCAAAGATTTAAAAAATCATTTTAGAAAAATCACAGTTTTGAACACATCAAATCTGCATTGTCAGCACCAAATTTAGTATAAAGTATCTTTACTATGGTAAAAGTTTGAGAAAAATCCTGTTCCTTGTTTCTACGGCTGGTTCAGTTGTTTTCATTTAAGATTTTTAATTTCTTTGATGTCAAATAGCTCCTTTTTTTTCCAGTACTATTGTGCCAGGGACCACAACCACATGTGTCATTGCTGCTTTTGCTACACAGGTAGCTCAACTTTCATGTACACTTCCTACCCAACTGAGCATTCTGTAGTGTGATGGCCATATGCCCACCACATGCTTTCCCCAGCTTTAATGGGAAGAAATGAAGCTTGCTTTGAAACCACACATGAGGAAAAAGGAAGGTGATCCCCTCCTGATAAGATGTCCCTGAACCATCAGTTTTTCCTCTTGAGTTGAACAGTGTCAGCAAACGACCCTGTTTCCATGAGAATATAATTATAGCTTTTCTTAGAAGATGTGAAGGCTCTACTACTCTATTCCCTGATTATCCCACACAACAACCTAGTCCAACAAAACCATTAAAATTTAAAACTTAAGATCTTTTGTCATAAATTTATGAATTCTGCATGTTTGTCTCCAGTTTCTTGGATTTTTTCGTTAAAGGGAGAAAACCTATACAACAAAATAACAGATGATTAGAGCTGAAAGAGAGACATCATTGAGTAGGAAGATTTGAAACAACAAACAAAATCCTCTTCTTATGGCTATTAAAAACAAAACCTAATGAAAGAGATACTTAATTTGGGGGAAAGAACACAATTGTTTCTATCTCCCTTAAAGAAGACATCCAATCCTTTTACATGTCAGTACTCACAGTAAGAGGTATCCCAGCATTTACTGAATGTCACAGGTGAGAATAAGACCTGTCTTTCCTCTAGTCAAAGCAGGATGGTGTTCATGTGACTAGTAAAATACAGGTTTATGCTAGTTGGTTTGGTTTTATTCTATTATTATTGGCATTTATAAAGCACTTTCCATGGGCTAAACAATATACTGGGCCCTGGTCCAAAAAATGATCAACAGTACAGTCTCTTGTCTTTAATAGGTGACACTAACTCTGGACAGTATGGTCCCCTTCCCCAGTATGAAGCCAGAGGTGAAAAGATGGCTTGACCGATACAGAGGAGGCTGCTAGAGGAGTCACTGGAAGCATCTGGGGCAGGGTGGGGCAGTAATGATTAACAGCTGCAAAAGGCAGCACATTATGCCACAATTCATCATTGCCAAGGTGGGAGGGGTGCCCTACACCCACCTTTTCCCAAATTTTAGGGCCTTGTTTGTAATCTGAACTGACTCACTGGGCAAAGACAGACAAATGCAATGGATGGGAATGAGGTCATTGTTTTCAAAAGAAGTTTCCTTTCATTTCTGTAGGTTTCCCTGGCACCAGAATTCCACATGAGTGTAGTAATTTAGAAAAAGAAAAGTAACCTTGGATTTCAGCATTGGCAAAGTCACCACTAATTATGTAACATTAGTCTTTTCTAGACCTAAGATATTCTATCTACAAAATTAAACCAGTCTGGATGTTCTTTGAAGTTTCTTTTAGACCTAGAATTCCTTAAGTTCATGTAGGGTAGGATTACCAGATTTAGTAAATAAAAATATGAGATGCCAAGTAAAATTTGAATTTCAGGTAAACAATGAATAATTCTTATTTTTCATCTGATAATCCTAATTCCGTGATTTAGCCACCTCTCCAGAATAGAAGCAGATATTCTAGACAAATGGCAATGTCGGGTCTTGTGGAGAAAGGCTGTCAATATCAGTAACATTCTTCAGTAGATTTATGGGTTCCCTTGGGTAGCCTAACTTCCCTAATCAGATTGGACACATAGGTAAAGATGGAAAAATCCTCCACCTTGACCCGTTTGCTTGAAAAGGTATAAGTAATGCTAAGTGTGGGCTGCAGCAGCACACTTCTCCCTCCTAATCCTGGTTACTTGAAGACAGGATTGCTAAACATCACAAAAAGACAAGGCTGAAGAAGACAAAAGGAAGAATAATGAATAAAGAAAAGGAAAACTCTGGGGCACCCTGTTAAATAATCATGAACAGATGAAGTTTTAAATGTAGCATAAAGTCCAACTGGGAACAGAAAATGAACAGACCAGCAGATATTAAGGTCCACTTAGGAGAAAGGAAAGCCTGAAAAGATTGACAATCATGGAAACACAAAGGCCATCTATGTCTTGGCTCTGTTTTCTTCTGTATGACTTTACTTTCAGTTCAGAAACATAGTCAAGGTTATTCTCATCCAAACCTCATGGAATGGGCTTATGCTTTATCAGAAGAGACCTGCTTTCCAAAGTAAGAGAAGTGGGTATTAAAAGAACACAGGGAAAAAGTAACCACACTACACTGTCAAGTTCCCATGCTTCTGGCTGGAATTCTAGTAACACTATATATAGATTCTGGCTGCTTTATGCTAGTCAGGAATGGTAATTGGCTGTTCTTGTTCTTTTTATTAAACTGAGAAAATGGATGATTTATTCTTCCATATGTCAGTGCTCTGATGAATACTATATCTATTGAATATTAAGACTACTGAAGGGGAAGTAATAGGTACAAATACTTGAGATGAAAAATTTGGGGACTACTGTTATAGCAGACATTTACTGGAAGTCTACTATGAACTTAATCTTGTTACTTAATCTTAATCTCTATACATTTTTACCAATTTATGAACTAATCCTCACTTCCTCTGCAAGGTAGATGTCATCATTTTCTATAGAAAGAGAAAATGATTATCAGATAGGTCAGTGACTTGGCGACAGCTGGTAGTTATTTTGCATGTGGCCAATCTGAGATACCAGCTTATATATCACTTGACTAAAAATTCAATATTTTTAATGTCTTTTTTAAAGGCAAAGAAGCCAACCTACTAATGCAAAATCTGAACAAGCTGCAAAAACCTGAAGAAAAGCTTGATTTTTTATTCAAGAAGTATGCTGAATTGGTAAGAGCTTTGATTAACTTTTTTTGCCAGAAAGATTCAGAATCTAGTTAGAGGTTAAAAAAAAGATACTATTATTTTTTCATATATATGATATAAACCATAGCTGTTTACCTCAAACAAACCAAAGCTAGAACTCAAAAAAGAAGCATTTTTTAAAGAAAAGAAAAACTGAAAGGTAACAGCAAAAGGAAATAGAATTAGAATATATATTTAACTACATGTATAATTTTGGGAATAAAAAACTTCTAGAAGAATAAATAACTCAAAATTGTGGATATTTTAAAGTTATCTTTAACTTCCCAATGAAAGAGAAACATTCTCAACATAAAGTTAATCTTAAACTTTAATTCAATTCTTGTACCAAGGGTTTCAAGGGTTTTAAAAGGGAGGAAGGCAGTGTATGCCTCAGTTCATGCTATGCATGCAGAGGTATCTTATACTTACTACTAAAGGTACAAAGGAGTTGATATCTGGTTTTCTTGGCTCATATGACAGACTTTTTTTCTATGTAGTTTACAGCCTTCATAAGGATGATTTGTAAAAGTTGTATCACAATACATTAAGTGGCTATATATGTGGAGTTACTAATTTGGGGGACATTTAAATTCATCCTACTCTTTTGCTATACCAAAGGCTGCCACAGTGAATGTCATGCATTAAATTTGTTCCTTCTTTATGATTTTAAGAAAAAGTTCCAGAAATAGGATTACTAAATCAACAGGATGAGTGCTTTTTTGAGCTTTAAGCTTTACGTCTATATTTCTTGCCAAAAGAATAGTAGAATTTACAAAACAAGTGTATTAACTTTATTGCAATTTCTTTAGCAATGGCTATTAACAATTTTAATACCATAAAACAAGTTTAGGTGTCAAAAATATTTTCCCCCAAAATCTGGCCCCCACTTTCCCCTCCTCCCTACAATTCTCACCTATCCATCATGCCTCCTTTTAGTATTCTCTACACTGCCCTTTGGTCCTTCATTTCACCCATTCATACCAGCACCATGTGCAATGCTTGGCTGGCCTGAGCAGTGTTCTAAACAAGCACAGGATGCCAGTTACAGCGCTGCATCACTTCCGCAGTTCTCCAGTCTGAGCAAGACTTCTCCGGGAATCAGGGCTGTTCACCCCAGTCTCGGAACTCTCTGTACCTTCTCACCCTCTTAACCATGGTTACTTACTAGAGACCTAACTCAATTCAAATCTTATTATATTTTGACATATATCTTATCTCATAATAAATTTTAAATCCCAAAAGATCAATCTAGAAAAAGTGACTAGAAGAAAATTGACTCAGAGACCCCTTATATTTCCTTTTCAGGAAAGAAAAATTATGAGGAATTTCAATTTTTACTTGGAGACAAAAGCCTATTTTCTGATCACTGATTTGGATATTAATACAGAAAGTGTGTGAAATATAATTGTTAATGTGGAATAAATCATCAACTTCAAAGCTGTGGATTGAACTGCCACTCTAGCTCACTCATCCTTACAAAGTCTGAATCTTTTAATACCATCTGCCATTGTATTAATTAATAAATGAGGATAAGGTCATTTATAAATAAGGACATTTCAAGACTAAATTAGGAAATTTAAGAAAAATATTTTCTTTAACTTTTATGCAGTTAAAATAACATCACTAATACAATTCTAATTTAGTATTTGGCATTAATTTTACTTAGAAAAGACAGCAAGTACAAGAGAGACTGCAGATAAAATCCTATCTTCCTGTTACAGTAGTACAGGAAGAACTACCACTAAGTGCACTTTTAAATCACAGCCAGCGTTTGGCTGAGGTTGACTCAATTGTAATACCCTCACCTTCATTCATTAAGAAACCTCGTGCATTCATATACGTTCATGTAAGTCTGAATTATTTGAATAAAATCATGCACGCACACATATACTCACACAAGATTAGAAAGTTGTTTTTATTTTAGAGCAAAGAAAGATATAGCTAAATGTTAAATTTGCATGATCTTGCAGTATAACTGAAACATTAAATGGTCAATAAGCAAATCATCTCTCAATTTATAATGTATACAGAGGATATCTTCCTCCTGACATTCAGATAAAGCCACCTAGGGCAATGTTCCCCAAACAGAGGCAGTTTTGCCCACCAAGGAACAGTAAGCACCTCTATCTGGAGGCATTTTGGATATTATAGTTGGATGGTGTTAGTGGTGTATAGCGGATAGGGGCCAAGGTTGCTAAACAACCTAGAATGCACAGGATTTTGCAGCAAGAAATTATGTATCCCCAAAATATGTCAATCGTACTGAAATTGAAAAGTCTAGGCATATGATTTAATCTTCAAAGGATGAAGTATAAGCCATAATAGGAATAACAACAATATATAAATTTCAAGGAAGTATATACTCCTTTAAAATCTAAATATAAGCATGGGAAATTTCACCTGTCTGATAACTATGGTGCAAAATGAAAGAACTATATTTATCCCATGAACAAGAGTTTAGCATGAAAAATATATAAGGATCACTGACTTTCCAAGAAGGATATCAATATCAATCAATATTTTTAGTAACATTGTTCTTGTTTTTTTCTAATGCTAATTTCCACTAATAAGGAATCACACAAGTATGAAGATAGCATGTCAATTATATATATTCTTGGCTTACTGTGACAAGGGCTTATAGTGGTTATTTCAATGAAACAAGAGGGAAAGAGGAAAGGAATAAAACAAAAGGTAAAATGAAGAAATTATGGCAGTCCTGTTCATGTAGCTCAGAAACAGAAAAATAAGACACAGGTCAGGGTTTATGTGGTATTAATGTCCATTTGATCAGGCTCTGTGAGGCACCAGAAATAGCCTGGGTCTAGAAGACCCAAGGCCTCTCCGTGGCTTTTCCTATGATCCAACAAGGTCAGTGTTAAGAACACTACCTTCCTGGCTTAAGAATCATTCAGGTACCAAGGGAACTGAGTCTAGCAGAAAAAAAACAGCTCTAGACAAAACGCTATCGCTTGAATGTGGCCACTCTGATGGTGAGTCTGAGACCAATACTCCTACAATCAGCTAATCTTTTGCTGCAGGCATCTGGAGGTTGATTTCTACACTCTCTCCACAAGGATTAAGATTCCAGAAGAATGTTATCAAATTTCACAAATAAAAAATACATCAACCCAGTTCAGTTTATATTTCAAAAGAACAGCAAATATTTTTTGGTGAAAGTATAGCCCATCCAATATTTGGAATATACTTACACTAAAAAAAAAATTCCTTATTGATCTGAAATTTAAATTTAAGCAGGTGTCCTGTATTGTATTTGGCAATTCTACCCTGGAATTTCAGCATTTGTAGATGGAAAGAACAAGGGTGAATTGGTTTCACTTACATGCCATCCTTGGTACTTTAGATGTGGCTCTTGGAGGGGTATGAGAAAAACTCATCTGGATTTGCTGGAAACAAGCACCACAATGTCTTTGTCATGGGCACAGAGGGTATGGGGACAGGGGTGCCTGGGAGCAGGGTACTGTCAGATAGTTGCCTTTCAATGTTTACGTGGTTAAGAGATACTTTCTCTTGTCCTCCTTTCCCACACCCAAAATCCAAAATTATAAAGATGACTGCACCTTATGTTTACCAAGAGGCTGCTTTTCTCTTTCTTATTTTTTTAAAAGTAGCATTAGAAGCTTATTTTCAGAAAGACTTATGAGGACGAAATGTAACCCAAGCAGATTCACTAAGCACCATTGCCGGAATGCAAGGTATTATTATGAATTCTGGCAGTTTCCAGATTCTGAGATGTGTCTTTCTGTATTGGCTGGTGGCATCAGATAGACTCAAGAAAAAAAAATATTTCTAGACCACCAAAAAACATCAAAGATGATTAATAATAATATAAAACCTAAGTATTATGCTATAAAACCATATATACAAGTATTATAAATGAGACATTTATGTACTTCCACAAGGACAGGTATCAGCAAAAAGTGTTTCCGAATAACCAGAGTGACCTCTAGGTTTTACTCCTTTTCTATCAAATCCAAAGTGATTCCTACCATTTTCTTTCACATTTGCAACACCATGTCTAGCTGGATGAACATCGCACTGAGCAAAGGAAGTTAAAACTCCTACAAAAGAACCAGGTACAAATCCAGAAAGAAAAGGACCAGCTACAAAGTGAACACAGTAGAGCCATCCTGGCTCGAAGCAAACTGGAGAGTCTGTGCCGAGAGCTGCAGAGACACAACAAGACACTGAAGGTATGTGTCACCTAGCTTGGAAAGACTTTCTAGCAGGCTGCATAGACCCAGGCCTCTGCTTCTTATGGAAAAAGTATGATTCTTAGCACAAAGTTTAGATACTGGTTCTGCCCACTTGCTCACTTGTGACTCTCAAGAAGTTATCTTACCACCCGAGTTTGTTTCTTGTCCTCGTTTCAGCAGCACATATACTGAGCTTGTTTCTTCTTCCATAAAGTGGGCATTGTACCATCAATTCCTACGTGGCTGAGAAGTATGTATATATATGGCTGGGGGAAATCACATAAGGTGTCCACAATACTAGATGCACTACAGGCCCTTGATACAACACCTTCTTATTAGGTTGAGTCTATTTTGAAGGTAGTCCACAGTTTATTATTTAAAGTATTTATAGAAACTCAATAGCATATATTATAATGAACTCTGCATGACATGAGGTAAATAAGCACAAAGTTAACTGACATGATAAGGTGAGAATGAGAGCTAAATGTCAATAGTCATCTAAAAAAGAAGCTTCTTGAAAAACACTGCAGCTCTTCAGACTTAATTAGTCAATCTAAAAATAATAGACTGATCACTTCATTCAGTCTGCATGGGTTTCATTAATTACAGTGTAAACCCCTCACGGTGTGCTTAATTTGATTACACACAGACACTAGCTCCACTCAATAAAGCATGATGCAGGGCTCTCCAATATAATACTGTCTGCATCCATATTACCCACATTATCCACATTATCTGCAGAAGATCTTAAAGCTTTTACAAACAGTAATTAGATACTAATACTCCTGTGAGGCAGCCACTACTTGGAAGTGTCTGAAAGGAGTTACTTTAAGAAATACAGACAATGAAATCACTGCTGATTGTGTACAATGAGTTAAGACAGAAAAGTAAGAAAGCCCATTGTTTCCTGCATTCCACATTGCCTTTGGTGTCTAGGAAATGGGAAGCCAGTGTGATGAACTCTAATTCTCAAATTACAAGTTTAAGGATATGAGATTCCAGTATCTTTTCAAAGACTGAACTAAGGGCCAGCAGAAACACAGGCTAGATGAGAACCTGGAGATAAGAACATAATCCTCAACTCAAAATATGTATTCAAGTGATAGTATTCTGTGTTCGTGCAAGTTTTCTGGATTTTGGTACATAGTGAAGAGATATAAATTAAATCATATAGGGTGAGATTATCAAGAAAAAGCTTTAAAGAGAAAATTATATGGCTTGGAACCTTTGGGTAGCATTCAAAGGCAAAATGACTGAAGTGTCAGAAGGCCAAGCAAGTACACTCACACCCCCTCATCAGTGACTTATAGTGACTGACAGTGAAATTATGTATCATAATTATACCAGGAGTTCTTCTAAGTGCTTACATATGTTACTTCATTTAATCTTTACAAACAACCTATGAGAGCTTCAAATCTCCTTTACTCATGAAGAAAGTGAACCTCAGCAATCTAGAACAGTTATCCAAGGAATATGTATGTCAAAATCATGATTCAAATTCAAACTATTTTTCTAATTTATCTTCTGATTTTTCCTTGACCCACAGTTATTTGGAAGTAATGTTTAATTTCTGTAGCCTAGGTATATTTAGAACGCTGTTCAGATGTTGGTGTAGTGTTCCATAAGTAACAATTAGCTTTAGATCATTTACGTCTAATTACTGAACAGTAGTATTCAAAACCTCCTAGTATAACTGTGGAATTGTCTACTTCTTATAACTCTATCAGCTTCTGCTTCATGTATTTTGAAGTACTGATGCTGGGTATATATACATTTATGATTGTTTTCTTGATCAACTGACCATTTTTATCACTATGAAAGTCCTTTTGCAATAATCTTTACACTGGTATTTATATTATCTGATATCAATATAACCACTCTATTTTTCTGACTTCTATTATTTCCCAGCTATCTATTTTCATCCACTTATATTCAAGCTGA